GAAGACATACAGATGGCTAACAAACACATGAAAAGATGCTCAACATCACTCATTATCAGAGAAATGCAAATCAAAACCACAATGAGGTACCATCTCATGCCAGTCAGAATGGCTGCTATCAAAAAGTCTACAAACAATAAATGCTGGACAGGGTATGGAGAAAAGGGAACCCTCTTACACTGTTGGTGGGAATGCCAACTAGTACAGCTACTATGGAGTACAGTGTGGAGATTCCTTAAAAAACTGGAAATAGAACTGTCATATGACCCAGCAATCCCACTGCTGAGCATACACACCAAGGAAACCAGAATTGAAAGAGACACATGTACCCCAATATTCATCACAGCACTGTTTGCAATGCCCAGGACATGGAAGCAACTTAGATGTCCATCAGCAGACGAATGGATAAGAAAGTTGTGGTGCATATACACAATGGAATATTACTCGGCTATTAAAAAGAATGCATTTGAATCAGTTCTAATGAAGTGGATGAAACTGGAGCCTATTATACAGAGCAAAGTAAGTCAGAAAGAAAAACACCAATACAGTATATTAATGCATATATATGGCATTTAGAAAGATGGTAATGATGACCCTATATGTGAGACAGAGAAGGAGACACAGATGTAAAGAAGACTTTTGGACTCTGTGGGAGAAGGCGAGAGTGAGATGATCTGAGAGAATAGCATTGAAACATGTATATTATCATATGTGAAACAGATCGTCAGCCCAGGTTTGATACATGAGACAGGGTGCTCAGGGCTGGTGCACTATGATGACCCTGAGGGATGGGATGGGGAAGGAGGTGGGAGGGTGGTTCAGGATGGGGAACACATGTACACCCATGGCTGATTCATGTGAATGTGTGGCAAAAACCACAATATTGTAAAGTAATTAGCCTCCAATTAAAATTAAATAAATAAAAACAAAAACATAAAGGCTTGAAATGAAATGGCCCTATGTTATTGTATTGTGACTTTCCCATTGAAAACAAAGCAGCCAGACAAAAGATGTTAATGCAGTCTATACAAAACAAGATTCACTTGGTTTTACCAATTTTTACCTAAAATGAATAAATACTGTTAAAAGTATCATCTTTAGAAGCATAAGTTAGTTGACTGATAAATTCATTAATTTATCCAGTAAACCAGCATGAAATGACTTACATAAAACTTTATCATATTTTATCCCTCAGCATTCTTCTCTACCAACTGGAAAGGATTAGCCTTCCCTAGCTTTCCTCTTAGCATGCATTATCATCTCTTTAAGTGTTATTCTTATTTCTTAACCAGGATCTCTACATTTAAATTGTAGAGCTGAAGACTGATTCCAGAAGACTGACCTGATTGCTCCTTTCTAGCAAAATCATTTTCTGAAACCAAGAACTTTTTCAGAAACTATGAAGTCTCCCAGAAATTCATGGTCCCTAATATGAGAAACCAAACTTAGAAATGACTGGGATATATTATTAACGTAGAAAACAGTAAAGTTATAAATCCCAGTCTGGCAAAGATGCAATGATTCAACCACCTCATTCATTGTTGGTGGCAGTTATAATTTATTAAGTTCTTTAGAATGAAACATTTGATTTCAAGAACTATAAAAATATCCAATATAGCTATATGTTCTATTTCTGTGATATAAACATAACCTGAGAAATTTTTATAAGGATCACTGAAGTTAGATTTTACCATGGTTGGTCCCAGTTCTGCCAAAAAAAAAAAAAAAAAAACCCAGGAAAAAAAAAGCTTTCATTGAATTTTTACAGTACAATTATTTGGAGAGAAGTAAAGACAATAGATTACTTCATTCAAGAGATAAGGATGAAGCTGTTCAAGTATTATTTATTAATAACATTGATTATTTACATTCAGCCTCACTCCCAAAGGGATTTGAGGTTACTTTCAGAGATATGTAAAATATAAAAGGATTNGGAAACCTGTCGTGCTGCAGTCCAAGGGGTTGCAAAGAGTCAGACATGACTTAGTGACTGAACAACAACAAATAAATGTGTTATAGGATAAAGTAATGAAATATGGAAAACGTTTAGGAATAAATGCTTAATTGAGTATAAGTGCTCAGTAAGTGGGGAAACTGAGGTTTTCTAGAAGAGAACAAGACATGCAAAGGCTTCACCTGCAGTGACAAAAACCTTGGTATGATTAAATGATAACTTCATAACCAAGTGAGGAGAGGAGAAAATGATGGATTCTGCCTACTTATTCACCACCATGTACTAACCGCACTGTGGGAGTTCAGTACATTTTTTTCCTTTTAACTTTTCATTCCCGTCACCTATCTTCTCCTAATGTTGGCATCTTATATCAACATAATCAATTATCAAAACCAGATATCAAATATTTTTGAATGAATATCATATACATTTTTTAATGATCAAAATAAGGATATTTTCCCATACATCTAGGCTATCTTTCAGGAAACACAGGAATAAAAAGTCCTTTTGAGTC